CTGCCATCTATGAGCTGTTGCTAGAAGCTTCAGTTTTCGTACCTGCTGTTAGATGGCACCTGCGGAAGAGTTTGACGTACGAATTGTCCTTTTCTTCCCTATCTGTACGTCCAATTTATAATGTCAATTGTTTCTGCGTCAGTTTGCGTAGGTACAGGTAGAGGGCACGAAGTGGGCTTCCGTTCTTTTTCCGGGTCTGTAATTTAAATTTACTCTAACAAAATTTCACTTAACCCTCTATGGGCCGAATATTTCTCTTGACTGTAAAAGAATTTATGTAACGTGAAATTAGCAAATGTCGACCTATAAAGGCAGAATAACAGTGAATTCAGCAGTTTCGACAATTCTATCATAACGAATACATATTGTAACTTTGAAGTAACAACGGTTATCAAGAAAGATAATAAGGAGACATTGTACAACAAGACGTTTATGCCATTTTGTGGAAGAAAGTTCAATTGTTTAATAAAATATCGATATATTAGTATGTGCCTTGAAAGTTACACGGGCCCATAGAGGGTTAAATTGATTGGTTTAGATAAAAGTATACTCTAGTTCCCCTGACAGATGTGTAATTCAAATATTTGAGTTCAAATTACATACTCATATGGATTATTAGAATCACTACACAGATAATTTATATATTAAAATGAATACACCTCCACGCGGTGTTATTTCTTGGCGTACAATTGTTCAGCGAATCGTCGTGATAGGTAACCTGTTGGTTACGCAGCAAGTAATACGATCGAGACGTGACGGATAAAACGAAAGGGTTCGATCGAATAGACGTTCGCAAATTCGTCGATACATCGACACACCAGCGATATATTCCGTTTGAATTCTTTGAAAAAAGAGCTTTCGTTTCCCTTTTTCAAAAAAATAGGTACATTGATTCGAATTTTCGGAAACAACCAGTCCATTCAAGGAAGGTCAGTTTTTTTTTAAACATATCAACGACGTTCCGACAATTTTTTTATTTTCGGGTTAGTTTTTTTTTAGAAACATATTCCCTAGGGTTTGTCCTTCCGAGTTGTGTTAGTTTTTTTTTTTTTTTAAGAAAAATATTCCCTAGGGTTTGTCTTTCCGAATTGGGTTAGTTCTTTCTTTAGAAAAATATTCCCCAGTGTTTGTCTCTCCGAGTTGCGAATTAGTTTCTTTTACAAGCATATTTGCGAGGTCTTATCGACGAAGATTCGATCGACGTAAGATTCAATTATCGATTACTTTATAAACCGATTATTTCGTATCAACCAAGATTTAACCCTTTTCCGCTTTATTTTTTAGAAGAATATTCTCATATTGCCGACACGGTTATTTATCGGCGTTCTTATCTCCCGACTTTGGGAGAAAAAGCCCGAAGACCGTTACAACTATTTCGGCCCGATTCCGAAGCATCTTTTAAAATAGAAAAAAAGAGAAAGAAGAAGGAAATAAAGAAAGAAAGAAGGAAAGAAAGAAAGAAAGTAAGAAAGTAAGAAAGAAAGTGACGAAAAAGTTTGTCAAGTTAAAAGTACTTGACCTATTTTATGTTCCCATACATAAGTACATTCATCTTTCCAAGAAAATTAAAATGAAATTTTATTTGAAATTTACATATGCGCTTGGTATTCGAATCTTGCTTGTAGATCCTCTTTTCTTTAGTTACTCGTCGTACAAGATTTATTAAAAATAATCGTGGTACTACGTATATGTCACGTTTATAATACAAATTATAGTCCACGTTTCACGTAGGCGTAATATTGCACCAGTTAACTATGTCGTTGTTGACATATTCTTACACGTAGTATATTTGGTAACTGCTATACGTAGTACAATTCTTCTAGAAGATTGTTCGTCGTAACCGCCTATACCGTTGTTGATGTTGTTGTCGTCGTTGTCGTCGTCGTCGTCGTCGTCGTCGTCGTCGGTCCTTTTGGTTTGATCATCATGGTGGCACGTTTCAAGGTGTAATCCCAACCTCTCCAGCGGAACCATACGATACCTTGTCGAGCTGTCAAATCTTGAGGATCGTTCAAGTAGAGACCGTTTAATCCCCGTCCGCACGACTTCCACCACCATCCTCCCTTCAGCATAGAAGCGCAATTCAACGAGGACCTGTCGTTGTCCCTTGAAATTTCAAGTTGTTTCGTAAATTGCACGGAAAGTTTTCGGAAGGAATTGTTACCTGTTGTACGTGGAGAATGGACTGTTGTTCGAACCGTACCAAGGATCGTTCAACGAATCTCCCGCATTTCCGTCGTAGCCGTCGATCTCCAATTTGTAATATTCTCCCTCCGAATAGATTTTGAAATGAGAATACTGAGCGAACCTGAGAGAAAAAGATTGCTCTCCGTACTTTCTATCGTACACTTGTTGTAAAAATCTTACCTTTTGTTACCTTCGAAATCTTCCAGTTCCACTCTGAGCGTGTAATCTTCGTTGTTCGTTAACATATATATGTTTTCGTTGCCGAGCCAAAATTCTCTAGCAGGGTCCCCGAAACCGTTCTTGTAATCCGCCCAATCTCGATTGAAATTCTCTCTTGGCTCGCCGAAGTCGTCTCTTCTTTGAATCACCTGAATTTGTTGAACGTTACTTTACTACCACGTACTTTACCGTAAAAATACAGTACTTTACCGTCCATCCTCCTTCCGCGATATCTTGTTCGCAATAAACCTTGAGGAACCAATAAGTTGTTCCACGAATTTGAAGATAATAAACACCGCTGTCTCTCATGCCTGCGTTTGATAAATCGACGCACGAGTATCCCTGTGAAAAATGTAACGGTTGACGAAATTTGTGTATAACGGCTGATAAACAACTACTTACCTTAACGTCCTTGTAACTGAGAAACGCGTCGGTGGTAAAGGTTGAATTTGCCGGACTTGGTTTATTTTTTACACTTGGAAATATAACGCCACGATTTTTAGACGAGGATCGTTGAGAGCTAGAGGGACTACTGGTAGTTGAACCGATCGAGTTATTGTTGGTACCGGCGATGTTGTTCAAATTGTTATTCACGGTATTCGACGAAGTCGAAGAAGACATGGACATTGAAACCGACGACGAAACAATCGTAGTTGGCGTAGCCGGTAGAATGGTAGTTTCGGTTGGTACATCTTCCGATAATCCCACGTATCTGGATAAAAACAAGTTTCTTTTTCATACGGGGCAAAGAGATGAGAATGGTTAGTACGTGTTTAAATTCGAATCGTACTCGACGAGTCGATCGATCGTGGGATCGAGAAGCAGTTCCGCGGGGATTGGACGTTGAGCGAGGCTGGCAACGTCGTCCTCTTGCTTGCGCAACCTATTTTCCACTCCTTCCAAATTTTCGATGATCTTGTTCGTTTTCGATCTTAGATCCGCGTGGATTTCGTTGATCGCCCTTTCTTGCCTTTGAGTTTGCGTAAGCAGTTCGTCGGATTTTGGCAGTAGGTCGTCCACGGTACTACTACTACTACTACTACTACTACTACTACTACTACTACTACTACTACTACTACTACTACTACTACTACTACTACTACTACTACTACTACTACTACTACTACTACTACTACTACTACTACTACTACTACTACTACTACTACTACTACTACTACTACTACTACTACTACTACTACTACTACTACTACTACTACTACTACTACTACTACTATTCTCACTTACCACCACGTTCCAAACTTGGTCCATTTTTTCCGAAACAGTCAGCATCGGATACTGCTTCGGTGGTGGTTCGGTGGTGGTTGTTGCTGTTGTTGTCGTCGTGAGATTGAACATTTGCGTCCCTCTTATCGCGTCGTGCACGTCCGTCATCATGTTGTAAATAGTTCCCAAACGATCGGAAACCAGATTCACGTGGAACTGTAATTTCCTATCCATGTTATTCGTCGCTTGCCTTAAATTTTCAATCTCGATCGTAATGTGATTTATTACTTCGTTGCTCATCGCTTTCGTGATTTCGATTACGCTCATACTGACTGGCTTTTTCTCACTCGCTTCGGCGTTTATGTCGTCGATTTGTAAAAGATTGTTATCCAGTTGATTTTTCAAGTCGATCAATTTATTATCGATATCCGATACCTTCTGATCGAGCGACAGTAATTGTTCACCGAGGGTCTCGGACGATGGATTTTCCCGTTTGTGATGAACCGTCGTTTGCGAGCCTGCTCGACGAATCGTACGTATGTATGGATGTACACGATCTACTAGAATTAACGTTGCATTTACACATACCGCTTTTCGTTTCGTCGGTAGACGCTGGATGGAAAAGCTTCAGGTCCAAAGTTCGTAGCTTCGTAATAACCGCGTCGGTTTTATCGATATTATCGTTCACGCGCGAATCCAAAGCTTCTACTCTTCTTGTCAAATGTTCCACCGCTTTGTCCAAATTTTCGATTCGCTGTAATTTCGATTCCAAAGTCGAAACTATCACCTCGAAAACGTTGAAAAGGTATTGTTCCCTGGAAAGAAATTTTCGAGCGAAACCTTAGAAACTCGTTCCCCTAACCACCCCACTTTTCTACAGTTTTCTACTTAAGATAGAGCTTTCAACCTAAAAACGGATGTATCCTTTCTCCTGCTACCGTGTAATTTTACGCAATTCGTTTGCAGGTAGGTCAATAGTCTGTGCTTACTACCGTCCTTTCGAATCTTACGATATACATAAAACGTGTTTGTAATATGGTATAATTTGAAAGTTCAACAGCATTTTGAAAATTTACTATTTCCTATGTACAATTTTACTTTTATCTAAGTAGGTATGTAA